CATGGAATTTTATTGCATATTGGGGTTTAAAAAATCTGTTATAAGAAACGAATCAGATGGTCCTTTTTTGTAATCTCAAGTACTGGCTACAACAATATCTAATCAAGCAGAAATCTCAGGCAATCTTGGCAACGGCAACTACCAATGCAGTGTGGAAATGAAACATCTATTGCAATGCCACATTTATTTGAGAATCATATAAATGTGAGCAACATTACATACTTTCCAAAAAGAAAACTGGATAAAAAAGAGAGAGATAGAAAGAGTGAGAAAAAAAATATAGCAAACAATGACTAGAAAATGCTTACAGTGCACAAATATCCAAATAATGAGACACAAAACTGCCTGAGGGGATAAAGTGCATGTCTATAAAAGCTGCAGAAAATAAACTAATGGAAGGGGTTCAGTCAACAAGGTGGGGAGTGGTGCTGATGCGTGTCAGAGTCTTTGCTCACAGCCTTTTGCTGACCTTGACTGAGGGGAAAAGTAATATGGATTCTCATGCACTATTACCCAAAACGAACATACTCTATAGCAGATAATGAGTTTACAGAATCTTTCACTGAAACAATATTTTTTGAAGCGCACAGGCTCTATTTAAATTTGGGAATTGCTGGATGCAAGGCCACAGCTCACACCTCTTACAGCGTCATGGAGAGCCTGGGCTTGGTAAGCACATGTCCTAAAATATGACTGGAAACTGAAAAACTGTTCACCATGCAAGAGAGTGAAGATAAAGCCAAAGCTATAATGACCATAATTTCTGTAAATAATCATGATCACTCTAAACCATCTCACCACAATTAGTCTTATGAAATATTAATGTCATGGTTACATACATATATACATACATACAGATACATACATAAATAAAAGTAAATAAATGTGTGTATGTTTGTGTGCATGAGTGAGTGAGTGAGTGAGTGTGTGGTGGAGAGTGAGAGAGTGTGTGGGAGAGTGTGAGAGTGTGTGGGAGTGTGTGTGTGGGAGAGTGGGAGTGTGTGTCTGGGAGATGGGAGAGTGTGAGTGTGAGTGTGGAGTGTGGTGTGAGTGTGAGTGTGAGTGAGTGTGAGTGTGTGTGTGTGTGTGTGTGTTGTGTGGTGTGTGTATGTATGTATGTATGTATGTATGTATGTATGTATGTATGTATGTACGTTTGTATGTACGTTTGTATGTACGTTTGTATGTATATTGTGTGTTGTGTGTGTGTGTGGTGTGTGTGTGTGTGTGTGTGTGTGTGTGTGTGTGTGTGTGTGTTGTGTGTGTGTGTGTGTGTGTGTGTTATGTGTGTGTGTGTATGTGTGTGTGTATGTGTGTGTGTGCATGTGTGTGTGTGTGTGTGTGTGGTGATAGTGTGTGTATGTGTGTGTGTGTGTGTGTATATGTGTGTGTGTATTGTGTGTGTGTTGTGTGTGTGTGTGTGTGTGTATGTGTGTGTGTGTAAGTGTGTGTTATGTGTGTGTAAGTGTGTGTAAGTGTGTGTAATGTGTGTGTGTGTGTAATGTGTGTGTATGTTGTGTGTGTAGTGTGTGCATGTGTGTGTGTGTGTGTGTTGTGTTGTGTGTGTGTGTGTGTGTGTGTGTGTGTGTGTTGTGTGTGTGTGTGTGTGTGTGTAAGTGTGCAATGTGTGTGTGTGTGTGTGTGTGTGTGTGTGTGTGTGTGTGTGTGGTGTGTGTGTGTGTGCATGTGTGTGTGCGTGTGTGCATGTGTGTGTGTGTGCATGTGTGTGTGTGCATGTGTGTGTGTGTGCAATGTGTGTGTGTGTGTGTGTGCTGTGTGTGTGTGTGTGTGTGTGGTGTGATGTGTGTGTGTGTGGTGTGTGTGGTGTGCGTGGTGTGGTGGTGGTGGTGTGTGTGGTGTGTGTGCTATGTGTGAGTGTGCTGCTGCAACAGGCACGTAATGAAACGCTTTATCGTGAATTATATCGATGTTATAGATGAGCTTTTAGAAATGAAAAATTAAAACAATAAATCACATGCTTCGGGCAATTTAGCTTTTAGAAACACAATTGACGCGGAGACTCCAAGCGATCATGTAAATCCCGAATACCATATGTTTCGTTCACTATAAAAAAATAAACGCACTTAACTGTAATACGATGTTGTATATTTACGTGCTGCCTTCGTCGTTGTCATCCATAGAGTGCGCGATGGCATTATGATAGCTGATAGTTGCTGGTGTGTGATGAGTGTTGTGTGTTTTGATTAGTTCGATTGGATGTTAGTGAAGTAAAACTTCCCAATTCGTCCCGCTTTCAGGTTGCGACATACACACTAATAAATCTTCAAAAAGGCATCAGAATTTTTGTAAAACCAATCTGTAGTAGTTTAGTGTATAGAGTCATGAGAGTGTCTTGTAAGTCGAAGTGCCATATCGCGTGATGGTAAAATGTGGTGTATTTATGCAATAATAGTGTGTGTGTCTACATCCCATTGATACCGGTGCCAGTAATGTGTAGTTGCGATGTCATATTTATCTCGGGCCACATGTGCATGATACT